AGCAAAGCTACTTATGTAATTTCCTGGAACTGCTCATGAACTTGCCGGTTTCCAAAATTTACGTATACAGAATTATAGCATTTTCCGAATCAGATCCTGAAATTGCGCTAATTCCGAAGCAGTTCTTAATATTTTATTTCATAGGATCGTTCAGACAAGGCTTTGCTTTTTTTAACGTAAATTAAACAGAAAAATATTTTTATCTAAATATTAATTCAACGTTACCGTTACGTTAACATTAACGTTAATGTTTCTCACGCCGATTCTAGAATTTTCAATACCGATACCGCATGTTGTTTTGGATTACATATCGGTATGTGATTGTAAATTACATGTACATGTAAATCGTTTTGTTAATCCATGTGTCGGTATTAGTATGCATTGTACGTATCGGTATCGAATTTTATGGATTTTGGCTGTGCAACTTGCAAAAAAAGGCTTTTTTATCGGTGGACAAAAGTTTGGAATCGGATGTGATCGACGTAAATAATGGGGTGACTATAATCGTTGATTATGCAACACACAAAAGTCCAATTACATGTATAACGTCAATAGCTCGTTAGAAAGCTGAAATCGTAAGCTTTCAAACGACGTAAAAAATTATGTAAAACCCACCCAACACTCGCAGAAATTGCCAAATTACGGATTTTGAGCGTGACGAGATAATCGGTGCTTGGAAGTGTGGTTTTTCCGAAAAAGAAATTGAAGAAACTCTGTCCAGAGTCCTGATCTAAATCCAATTGAGCATTTATGAGATGTTTTTGATTTTTAAGATAAATTGATCATGCATGGATTCGTCTTTCCAAAAGAATTGATAGATGCACTTGCAGAGGAATGGGAAAAAATCGAACTGGCTGAAAGTATGCCGAGGAGAATGCAAGCTGTGATTGATGCAAATGGGTATCCAACCCGATATTAAATATATGTATGAATAGCCCTACTTTTGCCATATATTTTTTTTAGTTTATTCAAAGTCGAGTAAAATTAATTAAAAGTCACCCCTTACATTACTGATCATTTCCCGATTCCATAAATTTATCTACATTTAACAAAACTGAAAGTACCGGAACCTCAACAGCAGAAATAGAAAGTGATGACCCGATTATTGAAAAAATTATAGAAAGTAAGAAATTTCTATCACATTATTCTTAAAAAGTCAATAAACCAATATGTTCAATTCGAACGATATTTGATATTGGACGCTATAAAGATGATGATAAAGCATTTGCTGAAGGACAATATAAAGTGGGAGTTTGTTGCGAAATCGTAAATGATGAGTACGAAGCATTTGAATGGTATTTAAAATTAGCAGAAAACGGATACGCTGAAGTGGGAGTTTGTTACGAATTAGGAAAGGGAACCGTAAATGATGAATACAAAGCATTTAAATGGTATTTAAAATCTGCAGAAAACGGACACGCTGAAGGACAATGTGAACTTGGTCATTGTTTTGAAGCTGGGTTTGGAACAGAAATAGATAAGCATAAAGCATTTAAATGGTATTTAAAATCTGCTAAAAACGGATACGCTGAAGGAAAATCTTCTGTTTTGACGTTGGGATTGGGACAGGTATGAGCATTGGAATTTGAAATCGGCAGAAACAGTATGTGGGAACTGTAAAAGCTAATATGAATGGCATTCAAAATTTGCAGAAACGGATACGCTGAAGTACAAATATGATTAACTTGATTTTTTTACTTACATAAATAAGGTATATCACGATTTTTCTTAAATTAATCTCATTTGTTTGGGATTTTAATATCTTGTCCTGTTAACTTAGCGTTAATTTAATCATAACGATAATTTTATTTGCAAATAAAACAAATTTGGCAAACTACAATTAAAACAATTAAGGTATCGATTAGATTGTAGAGCGAATAATAAACATGATTGATGCTTCTTTGAATCTTATGGTCGGAACAATTATACAAATATCGTTGTATCTAGAAGTTATTATAAAAATCGCTTGAAGGGAAATTTGTTAGAAGTGTTTTTGGTATATCGAAATTTTCATAATAGAGTATCATTATATCGAACTTTGAATATATATAGGGAAACCTGTAAAAAGAAATTTCAGCAAATACGCTGGAAAATATTTGATCAGGAAATTTTTAAAATTTTTATTTCCGACAATATTAATCTAACAAAACAAACCAGCATTCATTTTAACCCTTCAAACCTCTAATATTTTTCAAAAATAATTTTACAACAGATTATTTAAATCATTTTAGTGAAACTGAATGATTTCGTAAAGTAGACCATTTTTAATTACGTAGTACGTAGTCTAAATTTGATTTTATCTTAGTATTAAAAAAAAGTTCTGTAGCGGTAGATCGAAATTTACTTGTTAAATCACTTTTGAGGTTCAAGATTTAAATTAATACTTTTTTATTTTGTTTAGAATCAGTCTTTTAGGATTGAATGCTTTCGACTAAAATTGTTCGTAAATATAAAGAATTCTAATATATCAATGTAGTTAATTTTTACCTGCAAAATGTTTTGTAATAATTATAAATTAAAAAATTAAGTAAAATTATAAAAAGTCAAAAGCTGAAAAATATTTGGGTTCCTATTAGAATATTGTAATGCTCCGAATGTTTCGGGTCCAAATTTCGGATTAATTTTGGTCATTACAGTACAACTTTTTATTATATATGACAATCTGGCTGTATCGAGTTAAATTGTTTATAACGTGAATTTACATTCTGTAAAAATCTCATGCATTTTTAGTGGAATTTAAATCCGAAACGAAATTCAGGTTGATTCGGTTCCGGATTCGAAGCAGTAGGACATTCAAAGATAATAGCATTTAATTTACTGTTCGATCAATTAATATCGATATAGTCCCCCTTGTTCTTATTCGATTCCTTGTTTAGCCATGAATCCGGTTATAAAAATTTTGACTTTTCGATATACTGTATTTTATTTGCGTAAATCGGACAAACAAAATCATTTTATAGCCGAATTGTAAACGGCGAATTTACAGTGATTTCATAATTCTTGCCGCATATCAATATTACGGCTAGTGCTAAAAAAACACTCTTGGAAGAAACTTTATTTCTTATTTGCGACATCTGTATTAATTTAATGGATTCGCCACAGGCACTTGCATTATCGTATTTGATATCGCTAATAATAACTAGGAAGTGTTGCAAGATTCAGATTTTCTATGTATTGCTATTAGTTGTACGTGTATTAGTTAGCATATGTATGTGTTTAATTGCATAGCGAGAAAATTAAATTTTTGAATTACGTATATCGATATGGGCATAGCATACTGCAAAATCAAACAAAGTGAACATAGAGATGATGCCACAGGGACCAAAATTTTAGTAAGACGTCAAAATATATTGAGAAACAACAACTGATTGGTTGAAACACTTCATATCACCTACACTTGCTCACCTTTCTTTTTTAAAACATTGAGAATATTACACAGCAGTTAGAACGAAGAAAGATGATTCTTAAGGAACAACCAGCATTCTTGTTGTAAAAAGCATATTTTGTAAAGTATTTCGTTTGACGAACAATTTATGGCGGCTAATTGCTGTGAAGCTTTTCAAGAAGTGGAACGATCCCATAAATCGGTTCTAATTCGGTGGTTTCGGCACTATTTCAGATGCTGGATTCGATCTTAATAACTAGCGATTACGGGTCTACCATCGCTCAGGCCAGTTGTAAGCAAGTCTTTACATGCCAATTTGTGACTTTTTAATGAATGATTCAAAGAAGTCATGGTTTTTCGACTGATCGAAAAAATGTGAAGCCCATTCAAAAAAAATTTATGTTCATAATCATAACAAGCTCAAAACTTTATTTATTCTCGCAAATGATAGAATCCTCCGGTTTATGTCAACAATTTTCCAAAAATATATGCTTTAGAAAAGTAATAAAAAACTATGCAACTTTTTAACCGAACTACTAATGAACCTGCATAAACCGAATTTGGTTCCAGTAAACCCACATAGATAAATAGAAGATATTTTAAGAGCAGTTATAGTAAACCTGCCTCAATAAAAATAAACTTTTGATAAAATGAATTTTTTTAAAATTTTCTATTTCGGTTTAACGGAGTTGACTGTGTACTAAGACGAAGACGACCGATCACATAGATTTTGTGCAAAATTACTAAACCATTAATCATTCTAAGTTGGTAATTCTTAAATCCATTGCCTATATGCAACTCCATGATATTATACAAGTTTAATTCCTGGTTTTTTTGGATCAGCTGGGTAGTCATACGATAACAGTTTTATTTAAATCTGTATTCGGATTTGGTGGTGGTGAAACGTTGGTATGTAATGACTAATATTTTACATTGTTAGTCATCTTTGAATTGTGCTGGAAAATTCTTTCATAACGATAAGAATTTGTAAAAATGCTAAAATAAGCCAACTTAAGTATAAATTACGTAGATCGTTTTCTAATAGAATAATGGTCCTAGCAATAGTAGTTACACTGCAGATTCGATAAAGGCGTGATTTATTTGTAGTCACAACAATTACTATATATAAAATTTCACCGAGTATACAAACGAAAGTTAGTTGTATCTTTTAGGTGTGATTTGGTCTATAGGAAAAAAAATAGATTTGGAATGCATTCAAATATTTAGTTATATCTCTAGAGAGTTATATGAATTATGTTGAAAAAGCACAAAAGTAATGCAACAGCAAAAATAACTTTTGTATTATTAAAAGATTAGAATTAATAATCCATTGCTGAATTTAACGTTAAAAACTATAGCATATAATAAATCAAATGCATCAATTGTGATTTGATATCTTTAAATTTATCAAAGATATCAAATTTAATTCTTTGATGCATAATCGGGTATCGGTATTATTTTATGTAACGTGTAAATGATTTACGCCAATGACGACGACGACGACGTTAACACATGTACAAAACTGATTGGCTAAACACAATACATAACCACAACAACAATAATAGTTTCTATATGTACGAATCTCTTGCTCTTCTCTAAATAATTAATTGAAGAAATGCAAAGACCACAAAGTGACCCGATATCACCACACGCCAACCGCCTAGTCGCCTATATGAACGGACATCCCGATACGATTCTAACATACGCAAAATATTTTGGAAAAGAAAAGAATGCGGTGTCTGCTCAAATGACCAGTATTGATTCAGCGGGATTTACTGTTAAGGTTACGAAAGAAGATGGCGATGAAGAGGAAATTATTATTCAGTTTAAGCAAAAATTAACGGGTCATGAGCAAGTGAGAGGTGTGTTGACTGAAATGGCTAAAGATGCTGAAGAAGCGCTAAACTTGGTATGTTTTATTTATTACTTAGTAATACTATTATATTGGCGGATAAATTCTAATGATCCAAATCATCTAAATTAATAAGCCAAGCACACGTCCACCCAGTCCACCACCATCATCCACCACACTAACCAACAACATTCATACGCCATTCATCTGGCCGAACCCATTCGTTGCCTCTTTAATCGCAGTCTGTTTAATTATATTATACACTCCCGATTATTTTGCCCCGCAATTGCACCCCTTCCTCCGCGAATACGCTTACATTGATTGGAATAGTTTGTATGCGACTCGATGGTTGGTCCTCGCCCTTCATCTAGGTGAGACATCAATTGTCGCCTGGATTTTGGCTAAGAAAGGAGAACCAGATATGAAAACGTGGTTTTTGTGGATTAGCTTCACAATGTTCCTTGGTGGCCTAGTTGCTAATCATCTTTGGAATCGGAAGGAAAAAAAACGTGAGTAGTGAATTTAATCAGTAAATGATGAGAATATTATGATATTAAATAGTTTTATTTGAGTGGCTCTATAAATTCTTCAATCTGAAATAATTCAATTCCGTAAGACATAGATAAATCTATATTAAATAAATAACACAATAAAGTTTTACTTGTCTAAATAGTATTTTAAATTCAGAATATTTAACAGGCCAAATTCTGTTATGATGTTTACGAAAAAATTGTTATTGAGTTATTGAAGAAGCGATTTTTTGCATAAGAAATTCTTTTCCAATATAGTTATTTCAAAATGAATCCAAAAAATGATACGTTGGAGAATCGAAACCGAAGAAATTCTAATAGACAACAGCAATCAGAAAAGAATCACAATAGGTCTGGACAATGATTATATAAAAAATTATTATTTGTTAACGTTAAGCACTGATCGTGATTGTTTGTTTTATTGTTATCGCTATTGTTGCGTTAAAAAGAAAAGTTCTACTACGACATTCAGGTTTGGCTAGATCACGTGCATTTGATATATTAACGCTACTATCGCTGTTGTTTAAATCTGCGGTTAATTTTAGTAGATTTGGCCGCAACCAAATTCCAACACTGGTTTCATATTATACACAGCTATTCAGGATTTAAAATAATGCTGAATTTAATTTTTACGAGAATTTTAAAATATAGCAGTGCAGAATCTATAACTAAATGAATAGAAATAACCGATCATAGGAAAATTTCACAATTAAACTACTATATACAATACTCCGGGGGTTTTTAAATGTTATAGAAAATATAAATTTCTTATAAAAAAGGGTTATGCATCTAATAGTCTTGATTTCGTAAATTTCCTTTTCCTACGTTGCAATACCATTGATTCTAATTTTCGGGTGATACTTTAAGGGGGGGAAGGTATTTTATACAGTAATGCATGCATACGGTTTTCTAAAATTTTCTTATACATGTAATTTAGTGAGCAGCAAAACTTAATCTTAAGCTCTTATTAAAAATATATACTTATGAAAAACAAAAATAATTTGAATAATATATCTAAAATTAAATTTTTAATCTAAATTGTCTAATCGTGACATGTATTTCATTTTAATTCTAATCGTTTTATTTTACCTTCTTGACTTCCCAAATTTTCAAATATTTTCTTTTTCACTGAACCATCCCGTTTCCCTGATTGCTTCATCAATTAAACTCTTATATTCCCATTTTCAATACATGCATCTTTGTATTGATGAAACATCGTGACAATATCTTCAAATTTAGGATGCTCTAGTAGATAAGATAAATCAGAGTAACCATGTTTTTTTTTTAATATACAACCATTATCAAATAATACCTTCAAAACAAGAATCACTCGATCAGATTGAATATAACTGATAGCACAAGTTCTATTTGACAAATTTAATTTATTATAAAAATTTTTGAACTATGAAAAGACCCTACAACTTCGGAGTATATTATAATTCAAGAATGTGCTGACGGAGGTAACTTGCGACAATTTCTAAGCCAAAAATGTCAAATTTTAACTTGGCATGACAGACTTCAATTGGCTTGTCAAGTAAAGGATTGTTATCACTTCATAAGGAAGGAATTGTGCATAGAGATTTGGTAAGCTAACCTAATCATGTATGAATTTTGTGATTAATTTTAAATTGTTAATTTTGTCTTTTTCTTAATAGCATTCAATGAATATTTTAGTGCAAAAATATGTTGCTAAATTGATCGATTTCGGAATATCACGAATTATCAATGCTAATTCTTCGACTAATAATATATTATTGGGCATTGTACCTTACCTTGAACCAAAGTGCCCTGTAAAAAAAAGGGCCATTTTTGATCCAGAAAATTCCTGATTTTTGAGTTTGAAAATTTCCAGATTTTTTTCTGATTTCTAATATCTGATTTAAATCCAGAAATTCAATGGTTTTGTTAACAAATTTCCAGAAAAATAT